GTGAGGCAGAGACAACTATTGGCGGTCATTAAAATCATAGTGGGAATATGGAAGTTAGAATTATTCACAAAATGAGGGTCAGCATCTCTGTGTATAATACTCCCTCACCCTCTGCTCCTTATACAGTATATACACACATACACAGAGATGCTGACCCTCATTTTGTGAATAATTCTAACTTCCATATTCCCACTATGATTTTAATGACCGCCAATAGTTGTCTCTGCCTCACCGAAGGCTATTTGAGGCATTTAGTTTCATTATAAAAATCTCATCATCCCAATAGCTTATATTGTCCATTACTGCATCTTGTCAGCCACCATGAGTTGACCACCTAAGCTTGTTCAGCGCAAAGGTCTGTATTGAGGGGAGTCATCATAGGAAGCCGTCCTCATATGACCTGCTATTATGTGCACAATCCTGCTCTCGCTCAATTACGCACAAACACATATGCATGTTCTTAACAGCACATGCAGATGTCAGGTGAGGTAGCATGCTGCAGAATTGGGAGTGTTTCTAGCAAATTACAGGTCTAAGTCAGCAAACCCAACACACATAAAAACACTATAAAAACAAACAGAACATTTTATGAACAATTATGTGCGAGTTGTGCCAGCGAGCTGCCCCACTCCCAGCCCATCCCTTGTGAAAAAAACCTGTGTCTGCACTATTGTATTTTAAGAAGTATAGCGTGACATCTGCTTTCACTGGAGCTTGAACTTGTTGAGGATGATGTTTCTCTCCTGACAAGCAAGGTATGCCAGTTATTCCCCCATTGTAGCATAATATCACCTCCAGCAACTGCAATGCCACATTTCATGTGAAAGTACAACTTGGATTCTGATTTGTTTTGATTTGACATGTACAATTGTTCCTACAGATGCAAGTCATGCACCGCTCTTTAATGCCCCTGGGATATTGTCCTGACAAAACCTGGCTGCTATGACACCCTTTACTCTCATGAAACTAAATCCTTTTAATCACATTTTCACAACAAACACAGGCCAAACATGCTGTTAATCTTTGAACACTTCCCACCTCTGCTGTGTCCTCAGATCTGTCAATATGCTGACCCCCCAAATGTTTTAAAAAGCACATGAAATCCACACTTCCCACTTTCTACAGATTTGCTGCTACTCTGTTATTAATGTGGAATACACACATGAAGTCTCTGTCACTTGTTGACTTGAAGCTGAACTGTAAAAAACACCAGAAGAAGGCATCAGCAGCATGTCCTCAACAAGCAACAACAGAAAACAGAGAAGTGAAACATGAGGTGTCCTGCACCTCAGTACGACCTTGCAACGTGTAGAAGCGCATGAATATACATGAGACTCCTGTGTTCGGGCAGGGAGACGGCTCAGAGAAGGCATACGAGCGAGATGGATAAATCTATTATTAGACAAGTCATTAAGTCCTGAAATGACCTTTCCAACTCCTGTTATGTGTAGCTGCCCTTGTGACTACCAGTAGTTTCTCAGTATTTCAGCCCTCATAACTCTTAATTTGACAAGGGCAGATAAATTACCATCTCCCTCTGCACTACCACAATTTCAATATTAGAAATAATCACAGCAGCAATAAGGAGCTCCTTATTCGAGTCACAATGATCACAATCACAAGAAAAAAACAATAAATATTACACATTAATAATAGGTTGATTAGATAAGTTTACCCTGGTTAGGTTGAAGATAACCTCTTTATGATTAAACTTGGACTGAAATGAAGTATTGTGTTGTGGTTTAGTTTATTTTTGCTTTCAATGCTTAACTTCTACTGTTTTCTTTCAAAGAACAAGACATACTGTGAATCCGATCATTCATGCTGGCGTTTGCAGCATCATCAGTAAGTTACAGTTCTCATCACACATTCCTCAGAATTGTTTTTCTGCTCCTCTATGCTCAGTTCAGTTAATCAAGCTTAAGAGAATAACATCATTCTCCATGTCGTCCTGAGAACAAAATTTCCTCTCGACAACATGCTTCAAGAACACTAGCTCCTCCAAATAAACAAAAGCTATTATCACAGGGAGGGAGGAAGGATGTTGGTTGCTGAACAACATTTCCCAGCATGCCGCCATAACACTATAATGAGACTGCAGGGAGCTGTTGCTCTAGTGTAGACGATACAGGTCACCCTGACCTTGAGGTGTTGGATCTCAGGTCAAAATGTTTAAAGGAAAGTCTGTGTCAAACAGATTTCAGATGGACTACTTCATCATTTCACTCATACATGTAGCTTCGCTGTTTAATCTCCCCACCTGATAGCCATCAAAGCCAGCATGTCCCATGATGGGTGTTGGGGCCTCCGGCGGTGCTGGAGCCCGTCTCTTCTTCATTTCAGCCATCCTGGACATATTTGCTACTGACTGAGACTGGGCCAAGGTGATGGACCGATCTTCTACACTGGAGACCCTGGACCCTCCCTATGGGTGAAATCAAGAATAAAAGGGGGAGATGTCAGCTTTACAAATATGTATGTAAGCATACGTATGAACAAACATGTACTTGTAGAGGAGTCTGCAGTACATTTACTAACAAGTTAAGGGGATTAAAACACATTAGAAGTTTGTTCTAAACGTATAAATTTATCATGCTGCTGTTGCACGACCCATGAATGACATGCCATTACATTTTATAAGATCACCCAGGGATGACTTTATGTCCTTGTCAAACAAGTCTGTTCTGGGCTCATCTAACAGGAAGGTGACTGGATAAAACTTGAAGAACACATATAAACTCATGTAATAACAGATTTGACACTGAATTAAAGATGAAAAATCACCAGTTTCAACCAAATTACATTTTTCAATGTTGCCTGGTACGATATCTTCCTTTCACTGTACACCTTCACAGTTTCTCCACACAAAAACACAAACGCTTATTACTATATTATACAAATTAATTTCATATCTAGATGAACTTCCATCATTCGTAGGGTTCAGAAGTTTCACATGCAAATGCAATCGAATGTGTATGATTCGGAAGGTAAAGTTCATTCTTCAGTCACAACAGTTATTGCAACATTTATTTGACGGAGTTAAAAGAGCATACATATTTTCAAAGGGTCGCTGCTCCTGACTTAAGGCATTAGAACGAAAAATGGTTTTCAATACTTTTGATCAAAGAGAGCTCAAAGTGCTCCTGAATATCTGAACCTACTCGTGGCTCAGCTTGGTACAGAGCTTTGGCACAACGGGGGAAATCAACACCGCCCTCCCCATGATCTCAGAAAAGTAATTTAAAAGCAGATTAATTGATGCGTTCAGACAATGCCTGAATATAGCACTAAAGCAAGTTCAGATCATTAGAATTAATTGGACCCAAAGTTAGAACATCTCACAGTGGGGTGGGGAGGGAAAAGAACAATACTTCTGAGAAAAGCCTTGAGGAGACAAGTCCAGCTTTTTTCACATTCTGACAAAATGTATTTTTCTTATTTTGATTCTTACAGCATGAACGATTATACTTTAGTAACAAACCTGTTGGCCAGCACTTCAGCCACTTAACCTTTAATCTCACTTAATATCCAGACACTAAAAACTTGTGACTTTTGTATTGACTACTGTCGTCGTATCATGTGACAGTAGATTCTCAACATGGAAAGAGGGTGGAAGGCAGACACAACATCCAGAATAACACTACCGTTTAACACGACAGGGATAATGGATTTGCTTGTTCAAAATTTGTCTTCAATCTAATGAGTTTCAAAAACACTAAACCAGCCTCTTTAAATACAGAATCGATTTGACCTTAAGCTCACACTGCAACGTGAGTTCTTAGTTACTGGGAAAGGAAACTGTTACCCAACAGCTGAGGACTCCTGCTCACTGTCTCTACCCTTACTCCTGCTCAGGCTGTGAAGTTTGGTTTTCCATCTTAGCAATAACCAAGGTAACAAATACAGCTTTACACCCAAATTAGGTTTTATTAAGCAGGGGTAGACCTGCTAAAAGGTGACTGACTTCTTTCCCATTGCCAGTAGAGGAGTTTGCTTTTCTGTTCTTTTTCCCTGGTGAGTCATGTTCGACGTCACCAACGCACTAAAAACTGAGGTGCTCTCTCACCTAGCTGTCTTGCCAAGTTTGCGAGTTCACCAGAGTGTCATGTCTCAATTACTGCCAATCCGAGTCGGAGCCCATTAAAACCTGTGTCTACTGCATTCCCATTGCAGACAAAAGCCAGATGTTAGCAGATGTTAATAGATTTTTTGACCAGATGAAAGGGGGCTTTAGTATTTCTGTGGTTCATAAAAAAAATAAAAAAAATCACACTCAATACAAACGAAATCGGGACATTAACAGTCTACAACTTAAACTTGAGTTTAAAAAAAAAAGGACAAGTTGAAAATCTTCGTGTCAACACTGTGAGTGACAGGGGTAAGAGCAGGGCACGGGGGAGGCATGTGGAGGTTGACAGAACAAAAAAGAAATGTTGGAAGTGATTTATGTGATTTCCATCTTTCAAAAAAAAGGAACTTGTTTCTCACCTCCCCAAAAATAAAATGTTCAAAGCAGAAAATTCACATGAACTCTGTCTGACTTCCTCAGCCTCTCTCTTCGACTGTTTTCCCTTGGTGAAAAATCTGAAATCTGTCAAAACAACCATAGAGGAAAATACTAGCAAATGCACACTGAGGGACCCCAGTTCTGGGTGCGCTCAAAATTACTAAGTGCGTAACCTAAAAGGAAACCTTTAAACATCTGCATCGCCAGGGGGCCTAATTTATATAATGTATCTCTGGAGAATGCCTAACTAATCCCACTACAAACCACAAATGTAAATATGAAAATAATAGTCACAGTCTGGTGGCCTTTGTCTCACTTCAGAGGGAGAAGAATACTCCTACACGTATGTTTAACAAAGAGAACTAGTTCTCATTTTGGAAAGTAAAACACACAATACTGGTTGGTTACATTGAAAAGAGTGAAATGAAATTAATGAATCAGTTTTTTAAAGCTATACTAATAATCCAATATTGAGAAAGACACTGTAACATCCAGAACCAGATAATAGACTTGTTTGTATTTGACTGTCCTCTCTGACTGAAAGTCTCTTTCAGCAATCACCAATCACCAACCTAACAATGATGTCATGGTGTTCTGGTACACCACCATGTAAACTTCACTGCAGATCAGTTTTATCAAAAACAAGACTTTTTAAACACAGATAAATAAAATTGATCTCAGAGTTTGTTTAGGCCATGGCATTATTTTAGAAGATACTCAGGTAGGATTTTGGTCCATAAGCTATGT